GATGCACAAATATGTGATTTAAAAAAACTATTTTAATAAAAACAAATTGGGGGCTGGGGATGTGGCTCAAGCGGTAGCGCGCTCGCCTGGCATGCATGCGGCCCGGGTTCGACCCTCAGCACCACATGCAAACAAAGATGTTATGTCTGCCGAAAACTAAAAAATAAATATTAATTTTTTTTTCTCTCTCTCTCTAAAAAAAAAAAGAAAGAAACAAGAGGGATGGGGGAGGCTGAGTGCTGTACCTCTGTAATTCCAGCAATTTGGGAAGCTGAGACAGGAGGATCATGAGTTCAAAGCCAACCTTAGCAGCTGCGAAGCACTAAGCAACTCAGTGAGACCGTGTCAATAAATAAAATACAAAATAGGGCTGGGGATGTGGCTCAGTGGTCGAGTGCCCCTGAGTTCAACCCCTGGTAACAAAAAAAAAAAAAGAAAGAAAAGAAGAGAAACAAGCCTTCAATTCAAGAAATGAACTGTAAGGCTCTGGCTTTACCACCCAGCACTGCAGGGGGCATCAGCGAGGCAGGGTGGGAAGGGAGGCTGGCAAGGCAACTGCTGCAGCGTTGGCGGGAAATAAATGTGGCAGGTGTTCCAGGGGCGCCTGTGCCGGCAAGGTCACCCACAAAAGCAAACCACTGTCCCAAAGACCCCAGTCCTCTCTTCAACACGACTCTTGTTTCTCAAAGGAACAAGCCAGAGGGACAGGAAGACACTGCCCCATGAGAGCGCGAGTGGGTTCGACCTCCACTCTGGGAAATGAGACGTTTCAGCCAAACTTCTCTTGGGGACACCCCAGCCCGACTTCGACTTCGTCACATTCTGAAATCAAAGCCCCCGTTCTCTCAAGTTGTGACATTCCCTGGACACCAACTCCACTACAACCCAGGGGTTGGCCACTCTTCCTAAGAGGACCTTTGAGGCTTTGCAGGCCACAAGTCTCTGTCGCTGTAGCATCAAAGCAGCCACAGACACCAGACCAGGGGACGTGGCTGTGTTCCAGCAAAACTTTATTTATAGGAAACACCAAAATTTGAATTTCAGCTAAGTTCCCATCACAAAATATTATTCTTTTGATTTTTTCGACTATTTAAAAATGTAAAGCCCTTCCTGACCCACAGGCTGTGTGCAGAGTAGCTGGCCGAGCCCTCACCCAGCTGCATGGGGGGCGAGCCTGCTTCCCTTAGCTGGCGCCGCACTTCCTGCACAGGCCTGAGCGTGCGAGCCGTGAGGCACAGAGGCAGCGGCACTGTCAACAGACGTGGTTCTCAAAATCAAGCCTCCTTTCCCATAACTACGCCTTCACCCTTTCCTTGTCTCCCATCCAAATGACTAAAGCCAGGGGGTGCAGCTCCATGGGCGGAGCACTTGCCTCACATGCCACCCGGGGTTCCTCCCTGGGACCACCATGAAGACCTTACTGCAGCACACCCTATGAGCAGCAGATCCCAGGCAAGCCCATACCCGGTACCCGTTTCCCCCTCTGATAAATGGCAGGATGACATCCACCTTGTTAGTTGGTGAGGATCCACTAAGA